TTCATATACATATACAAATATATAAATATATATATCATTCGTTTATTCATGAATGAACTAAGTATCCCTACAGAAAAAAAGCTGGCGTACACTGTATCATATACGTTATGTATATATATGTATGCCCATGGTCACACACATACAAACAGTCAAACATAATTTACACACAAACAAGCATGTACAGCCACATATATACACAAACATTCCCACTTAGAAAAACGCACATACACGCGCTCTCCCCTGTCACGCACGATACCATAAATAAAATCACACAGGAGTTGTAAGAGCACGTCGGAGTATCGACTGGCGGTTGACATGTCGGCCCAACAGAAACCTCCAGTAAACTATGGTGACTCCGTGGAAGAATCTGCAATACATTGTACTCCACATTTACAATCAAATACACAACACATAAGCACACATAAATCAACATATTATACATATTGTATATATAGATATAGATATAGATATAGATACATACATATACATATACATATATATAAATACATACGGGCGTCGCAAGAGCGCATTAAAGCCTCGACTGGGCGTTGCGGGACCCGTCCCAACAGAAACTTCTCGTGCACTACCGTTACCCCGTGGAAGAAGGTGTACTCGTGCTCGCCCACAGTGGGTGGTAGTTGGATGGTGTCGGCTATGCGTGCGTAATCAACCCACCTGTATCCCACAATAACATTGAATAGGATTGATGACGCAAGAATCGAAGTAATGAGATGGGACTGTATTTGAATGGTCTAAACTCGTACAAATTGTACATAAAGTCACGCAGCAGCGAGTCCTAAGCGCTATACAACCCACCGAGATCAACGTACCGTTTACGTAAGCCCAACTGCATGCCCAGCACAGCGCGACTGCTGCTGGCGATGTGATTCTTGAACATATTCGTCAGTTTGACTTCGATTTCCGCGTTTCCGTCTGTGGCCTGGTGGTCGTACCACCGTACAAACTCGCCCACACTCTCCTCCAAGTCTCTGGGTGCAGCGGCGTCCCCTTTCTCGGCTGGGGCCAGTGTTCTGCGCAAAGTGGATTTGGAGTCAATAGGGATGGTTGTACATAAATAGTATAGATACATATATGTATATACATCATATTTAGTATACATTTATATACATCATAAATAGTACATATTCAAGTATGTATATACATTATAAATAGTACATATATATATATATGTATATACATCATAAATTGTACGTATAATACGGGAATACATGCCGAAGTGCAACTAAGCACTATTTGTCGGTTCGAAGAAGTGATCTGTTCGCAGATCACTTGGGTGTCACTATGATTGTACATATATATATATATATATATATATATATATAGACAACAGTATCGTACTT